AGACTTTTGTCAATCTCCACTTTTTTAGGAGATGCATGAGGTGAACCACTTCTGTCTTCCTCAGAACCCGAGGCCGCTGCATTTTGCTTAAGCAGGAAAGGACAATTCCTATCTACTCTGCAAGATGGCTCTGCAGCCAGGTTCTCAGTTGCTCATCTTGCCTCAGTCACTCAGGGAAATCCACTGATACAGAAAGTCATCCTTCCAAATAATGCAGGTGTCAGAGGTCTGTGTAAGAGGAAGGCTTGGCAGAATCTCTTGTGGAAATTTACACAACATCTGCCCACACAATGGCTGGACAGTACTGTCTTTTCTTCAATTGTCAGATGCACTGTGTATAGAAGAAAATCCAAAGAAAATAGGAGATCCAAGATTCTAATGCATGAATAAAAGGCAGTCATTGTTGGAAATATGAACTGTGATTTATTTTGCAAGCAATTTTTCTTGACTCCTTAGTGCCTGCTGTCTTGCAAGAAGGCATTTTGCATTAATTGAGACTTTAAAGAAAGAAGATATTATCATATTTTAGTAAGATTATCTGTTAATTTTGTCTTTTTTAAACTTTTGTCGGGGAAATTTGCCTTTCTGACCACTAAAACTGAGGTTAAGTCTGCACTTATGATACGCATGTAAGAAAGGGCTTGATTTTACATTGTAAAAACATGGCTCAAACTAAAGTGGAAGAGCACCGTTCCTGTGAGTTAGGAACATAATACTGAGAGGGAATTCTCTGAGGAGGGAATGCACTATTTGTTCTGCTGTTCCTATCTCTCTCACCCATTCAATTTCAACACCCTCTTCGTGCTTCATTCATTTTTTGTCCTGGCTTCTAGATACATTCCTCCATGGTCACTTAGCATTGTCTGATATCATCTTACTATCATACACGATTCTTTACAGACAACTATTATCAGCTTTACGCTCACTTATTCTCAAATTAGTGCCATTATTGTGGTGGATGAGCTAAGAACTGTACTGCTCTTGGTGTCCTCTAAGTATCACATTTCTCCTGGGCCACGCATTCAACATGGGATGGGAAAAGTCACATTCCTCGCTAAATTTGGCTACTATCTAATGAGACCAGCCTGTGTTGCCTTTCTGTGTGGAAAGGCTGGCTGTTGAAAACACCTGTTCGATCACCCAGTTCGTGTTTCTGTCAGTGTAAGGGAAGTCCCTGCTGTACATTTACTAGTAGCCTATAAAGAGCCAGTTTTTGAGGTCATTTGGATCCTAATCTTGCCATCCTGATTCGATACACTTGCTTTATGTCCATTTTGTCCAGCTGTAAATGACTGTACAAGGCATAAAGCAATGATGAGAACTGTCTTTGGGGACTAGCTGGGGTATGGGCTGGACACTGGGATGAGAGGAATTGGGAGGCAGCATGCCTCCTTTGGGTCCTGACAGGAGAGCTGGTAATATGACACATATACTTTGTGCAAGGACTTGTCCTCAGTGGCAGATGCATTCCTGCTTGTTTGCTGGGGGCTTGTTGAGCTTCTCTGCTGCCCTGCATCTAAGATAATGATCTCAGTGCCTCCAGTGTTTGAAAACTCAGTATGAACTTTACGCATAAGAATAATCATACTTACTTTAATTATTTAATCGTGTATGATTACGTATGTTCTTCGTGGTCAGAATCAGAGCACCTTATAGGATTGATTTTACCTAGAGGGAAGAGGGCTTATTACCCCATCCTGTCAAGGGAGTGCTGAGGAAAATCAAGTGCCATAGAGAACTGTATGTTGTATTACCAAGTCTTACAGTCATTTCAAATCTAATGATATTTGACATTTTTAATCCTCCATTCTTTAAATTAAGGGATACTGCAAGAGTCTGAGCATTTCTTTTAAAAAAGAAACTTTCAAAATCTTACAGTGTGCTGGGAGGGTTTGAAAACTCACAAATTAGGAGACAAGAAAGGATGCCGCATATACCCCTTGGAAAATCTTACACCTTGTGATTTTTCAGCTTTTATTCACAATTTTTGAAAATTTGGAAGAGCTGATGGTAGTTCTGTCCTTTTAAGGTACTGCCATTTAACCCAGATGGTACTCTGAGAATAGCCTCTCTAGCAAAGGAGAGTCTTTAAAATGCAAAGCTCATTTTTGGGAATGCTTGGCCAAATGGGACTGGGAGCCTTTGCTGAGAATGCCAGGCACAATCACTCTAAAAATAATAAATAAATAAGGCATCTTATTCTACCCAGAAATGCTGTATAGAACTGCTATTAAAGTCCACATTTGCAAATAAAAGCAGCCTAAATTTAACTATGACTCAATTACACTAAATCTGACCCTTTTTTGTTCTGTGTTTCAATTTAACACTTATTTACATTCCTAGACTTGGCGCTGTTGGAAGAGAAGGGAGGGGGAGAAGGCATTTTCATCCTCAGAATTGCTATTAAAAAATGATGATTAGGAAAACACAGCTATAGTCAGCCTGAAGCTGGGTAGCTCATTTGAACCCACTATAAAAGATCGTTTTCTCATCCTATTAAAACTCAGTTAGTAACGGCTGCGTAGGCGGCAGGAGATCAGAAATGAACGTCCAACTTGGAGTCCATACAATTGGGGTTGGGTCCAAAGCAAACTGCCTGATTAGTGAAACAATTTGTTTTTTACAATGACAGCAAATAGGTAAATCTTGTGAGCGTCAGGAAATCCTGGAGGATTTTGAATGGGAGCACTGACTGCTTTGCAAGTTGCACTTTGATTAGAAGGCATCGTTGCCTCTGCTTTTCATGCTCATGTTGCAAGGACATAAACAAGAGGGACTCAATTTGCTGAGGGCATTTATTTCTCTGTCTCTGTCTCTCTCTCTTGTTTTTACAATCTATGTGTAATGACTAATTGGCTGTGTTTTCCCAGCTATTTTATGTTTCTTTTGCCCTGGTTACAAGTCGTACTAAACCAGTATATCCACAGGGACCTATAGACAGCCAGCACTGCCAAACGATACGCAGCATTCCCCTTTCTCTCTAAGTGTAAAACATTTACAAGTAAATTTACAAATGCATTAAGAACATTTCCTCCGTTGGCTGTTAGTGTTTATTTCTTCCCCTTCTCCTCCCGGGAGCAGACACCTTCCAGACCCTTAACTTTCACACACTGCTCTCCCGTTATTTGCCTCCTTCCCCTCCCCCCCCCTTGCTCCCTTTCGCTCCTCGTCCCTCTCCTCCTTCTCCTTTCAGTTCAGGCGCAAATTCTGTTTGTGCAGTGGTGCGGCCTGGCGAGGACCGCAATTGCTCTCTCCACAGATTGATCGAGCCTCAGATCGATTACTGTATATGGCAGCCTCACGCTGGAGCGCGGCACATTCTGGAGTGGAGTAAGCTTACTCAGAAACAGGGGCCAGCTCCAGCCGGAGCCAACGGAGCTGAGCGCGGCGCTGAAAGGCAGCCCTCCTGCCTCCCCTTCCCGCCTCCCCGGGTACATTTCCTAATGTAAACAGAGGCCAGGGGGGAAGGACACAGTAACTCTTTGCTGCGTGTTTGTCATTTCATGTTCTTTATCTGCTTGAGGTCAAACTGGAGCTCTGGAAAAACAGAAGCTTTGCTTTTATTCTAAATAGCTGAAAGCCAGCGCTGCTGAAGGAGGGGGGGGGGGAAGGAAAAAAAAAAAAGAGTTTGCTTTTGTGTTTATTTGTTCCACTTTATGGTAATTTAAGGGATAATTTCATTATCTGCAGCCAAATTGAAAACAAGCTGTTGTCTATGCTAATGATATCAGCATATTATTTTATGTACAGTAGGCGTGGAGCTCTTTAAACCACAAGTGGACTGGATTTCTGCTTACAGCTGTACTACTTTAACATTTTTTTTTATAGTCACAAAATGAGACTTTCCTTTTATTATCTGGAAACAAAAAACATTATGGATGGCTGCTTTGTTTTACAAAATGGTGAATACCTTTCAGGGCCCTGTGCCAGCCTGCTGTCTCACAAATGCATCTTAGCTATGTTACTGCAACGGAAAAGTGTGCTCGTTCTGGGGCCGATATGCTGATTTTATAGTCCAGTTTGCTGGACTGATGAATTTTAATCTCTGTAAAGAAGTAGGAGAGATTTTTGAGGCATTTACTGACTGTCAGCAATCTGGAAAAGAACTCTGTGATTCTTTACAAGTTTTATATAATTTTTATTTCTTCTTTCTAATAGCAGAATGATACAGTTTATAGGTTAGTTGTTCAAATGAGATTAAAATCATAAACATACAATTTAAAATGGCTTTTCCTACTCAGTATTCCTTACAACTCCATGAATTTTACAGTGAATAAAGGAGAGAAAACAAACCTCAGAAAACATTGCTGCTGATAACATACTGATGCATACTGTGTTGATTTAGCTGTCTTTAAAGACTATAGTAAAAGTCTTATTTAGATGAAAGCAGCGGTTTAGCCGATATGGAGACTATTGAACAATCTTGCTCAATAAATATATGAATAAACCGCTGCGGGTCAGCCCCTAAACCATTTTTGTCTGCAGGAGTAGAAAGTCTTGATCAGCACATGGTTTTCTAGGGATGTTGGTTCACTGTCGCCTCTCAGTTCACAGACCATGCTAAGTATTTTAGCTTTCTGGTGGACTAAATTCCAGATGAGTAAGTTGCTCCCATGAGTGTCAATGAAGGCAAACTTATCTATCATGTAGGAAAACTTGGGCTGGGCAGCAAGTGTGGCTGGGCAGCAGTTCTTGTACCATTGTAGTTCAGAGTTTCAGCAGTGCATTCCCCACCCCCTCATAGGGCTCTTATGATTGCTGTTGTATGTTCTGTGTTGATATACCATAATACTTATATAAGAGATAGCAATATAGGTTTCATATTTCTGTATTTGCTGTTTTTACTGGATACTGTTTTAGTTGATTATAGTAATTTCTTCACTAAAAAAAAAATTGTGTTTTCTCTTACTTTCATAGTCCTTCAGATCCCTGTAGGAAGGGCCCAAAACTCCTCATAAACAATGTTGGCCAGGTCTCAGCCTTCTCACCAAGGAAGTAGTGGGCATTACCTCCTTGTGGCTGCTTAGAAACCACCTGGGGTGAAATTCAGTAAGGAATGGACTGTTTGCATGGCAGAGGTGTTGGTCAGCTTGAAAAGACCGAATTGCACATCTCCAAGGTCTGTGCCTGAAATCAGAAGCAGCACCATGGGTACAGGGACAAATACAGGGATGCTATACCATTTTGCATGATCTAGGTGATTACTGAGGTAGATAAAATGGTTTCTTTGGGGTGAAATGATTTATTTGGAAAAAAACACATGTCTACACAGAAAAGCTGATGAAACCAGTCTCAAAAGCAAAGCTGTTTGGCAAATTTCAGAGAGACCTTGGCACTTGACTGAAATCTAAACTTTTTTCAGGGACAGCTGGATTTTGGCTAAGTTCTTCTGCAAGCCTGCAGGGCTCTGGCTGGCAGACCATTGCTCAACCTTCCGACTGGCAGGGTACAGGATTGATGGCCTGTCATTGCCGGATGGCCCACCAAGTAGTCTACCTTTGAACTAAAGACCTCAGGGCTTCCAGGTTTCAAAACTGGGACAACACTTATTTTGAAACTTTTTTTGATATGTGTTGGTATGCATTGGAAATATTTTGATTTCAATGAATTACCAAATCCTGACCCCAAAAAGTGTTCCACAGGAGTTTTTTGAACAGCTCTATTCCAGTCTTAAGTTTAATGACCCCAAGGGGAAAAAAAAGTTTCTCCATAAAGTAGAAATAAACCAGAATCCAGTGAATGAGTCTGAAGCAGGATTCCTCTGACCCCTCCTTACCGTAATCCCACTGGTGTCCTTGGTCCTCCAATAGACTGGTCTGGGCCCAGTTACACAGTTCTTGTCTTAATTTTAAATGTGATATCCTGATAGGAATGGTTTCCCTCCCCCGCTTCCCCCCTTTCCATTTAGTGCACATTTGAAATGGATTCAAACTCCTTGTTTTGCACTAATGCCAAAACTATCCATGAGGTCTCAAAACGAAATCTTCTTGGTAGATGACTACGCATCCTACTGATTATGCTATTGTTATTATATTAATAGCATATTCTCAAACTTAGGCAATGTGCAGGTGCAAAACTCTCATTCAACAGTACATAACTCTTTCATCTGCCATTTCTTGCCAGTAGATTTCCTGCCCATATGAATGTTTCTTGTGAAATTTCTGGAGAATAGCTGTTGGAGTTTTGCCAAATGTAAGAAAACAAATACACAAACAACCCCTTTCCAAAACTCAAAAATCTCCCCCTTTCCCAGTCCTCTCTTTTAGAAACTACTACTTCATAGTAGATGTTCTACATCTAACAAAAAATACCAGTTGTGAAAAAATAAGCAGTGTGGATTAACGTAGCAAAGGTAAAAGTAAAAGCTTTACTAGGGTGGTGCCAATAATGTCACCACAGAATGCCTGTGTATTGGTATGCCCTTTTGGTTCACGTGGGTGCCTCACTTTAAATATGTGCCCTTGCCTGTTCTTACTCAGTCATTCACTCTGTTAACACTTCTTTGGAATCCTGTCCAGATATATCAGGTTTAAAAGACAATTAGCCTTGGCAAATAATATTCAATTTTTAGAGAAGCCTTAACTCAGTGGGGTTTTTTTAGGTAAACACAACTTTGGGATCTACACACATGCTCAAACAGTGGTGAAACCTGTGGACTCTCATTCACAAACTATATTTATTCCAGTAGGCTTCATGCTTTGTGACCATCATCCAGAAATGAAGACAGAAGAGCACTTTGAGAATCTGAGGGGATTTAAGGGTTTGAAAAGTGTATCAGTAGATGTTACTCTGAAAAAACATGTGTGTGGGAAAAGGGCAGTTACACTAACCCAGCTATTAGCAGTGTACTTTAAAAGGCAATAGATCTCTTTAACATCTAAATAAACTGAGAATTCTGTCTAGAAGTAAAAAAGGAATTTCCAGTTTCAAGTGTGTTATTTCCTCTCAGTGTGATTATTTACAGTATATCTCTTTCATGTTTTTTTTGCAAAATGTTATTGACATTTGAATGGTATTTCAGCATAAGATTATGACAGATACAAAAGTCAAACACCAACATTTGTAATATTTTTGACCCCAGGATAAACTGTAAAAAATTATCCTATTGTACTTTCTTTGCTTGCTTTCGGTGTTTTGTTTTGTTGAAGCAGCAAAGGATTCATTGAACTGGAGCCTGCCATTTGTTATTGGCATTTCTCAGAAGAGTAAGAACAGTCGTCAATTATATATTTTTCCAATAAAAACATGAACTCATTATGTAAATGTTCAGATTAGAATTCTACCCCAAATATATATGTATCCTAAAAATAAACTACAATAAATGTTAGACTAAGCAAAAATGAAGAACAGCAAAAGAATAAAGTCGATGAAAAAAGTGAAAAAAGAAAGTAGAAAACCACAACAATAAAAAATGCAGGCATTAAGTAATATAGTGGGTATGAAAAAAAAAGAGCTTCAAGATGAAGTTATGAGAGAGACAAGGGAAACTATCCACAAAATTGTTGCAAAAGCAGAATTTATTTTTACCTGGCAGGTGAAGTTGTGATCACAGTCACTGCAGTCAAGTCAGGTGTCCTGAAACACAACAAATAAAAACCAAGGGCTTTTAAATACGCAAGATTAAAGAAAGATTCCAATGAATCTCAGTGATCATCAAATGATGATTTAATAACTGTGTCAATAACTTTTTTCTCTATTAAGTTTAAATTGAGTTATACAAGTAAGAAATTCTAAAGAATTATCCCCTTCTCTTCTGAAGCAAGAAATGAGAGTTGGAAGCTCTGTTTATATGAGGGAGAATCTAATATTTGGGATCAGATTTGTGTTTTGAACCTCTCTAAAAGGAAGATGCATTTTGACTGTGACTCTAAGGTGGACCCATCTCTAATTCTGTTGTCCCCAAACTAAGAAAGTATGCTGGACCTCTTATGCAGAGCATGATTGAAATCTGTGAGGCTAAATTATTCCTGTAAGTGAATTTGAAGAAATGTGGTGCTTTTTAGTAGATTCAGCCCCATGACAGGACTCAGTTGTGTCTTTAGGTGAACACATACAGCCCTCCTTAATCACTAAGGATTGTACAAGTGCAACAGTTGGCAGACAGGGACTTTTTATTTTTCATTAATTTCTTAAAGTCCAGTTGTAGTATGAGTATGTTCCTCATTAGTAACATCACTACTATATTGCTTTTCCAACAAAACTTGCAAAATATTACATTACTTTTTGGTCTGCTGAACTGCTGAACTACTGAACTGCCAGTTCCTAACAGAAAGGAGCTGTAACTGAATCGCTAGTAAAAGGGGCAGGAAATTAGATAAAAGGGTAGCACTGGTTTTACATGCGTAAATGAAAAGATGTTAGCTTCAAATATGTAGCCTTTCAATATATTTTCCAAATCTTCAAAAGTGCCTGACTTTTGTTATTGAAATGCTGCACTAAATTTACTGACCATGCTCCTATGTGTTGCAATGGCTTAGTTCATGTGAACAAAAATTAAGGTGAAAATTTCTTATATCCTGATAGGCACTGTGGTGTCTTTGAAAATTAAAAGTCTTAGGGCTTGCATGATTGCAGCATGATTATTGGACAAACAAAATTTTTTTTTCTGGTAAGTACATAACAAGACATTATTTGGAGGAAGCTAGCATTATAGCCAGAAAAATACCCTTGCTCATGCTGCCCAGAAAACTGTGGTAGGAACAGTTATTGAAACACATATAACAAACATTGTGGAGAGAAGAACCTTTTGAACCTCCTTCTTTCTGGTAGGGAGGAGGAGTTGTAAAAGCAGAACAGGCTATGTGTGACGGGAATCCTCCCACCTAGCTTTAAACACCTGTGTTAAGTGTACCCATTTTAGGTTTCCTTTACAATCAGTGGAGGATGAGAGGTCTCCAGAAGGTGAGATGTATTTTGGCTTCGCATTGTCAGCTGCTGGAGTGTCTCTCTCCATTGACTGTAAAGGGCACTTAGGGGTCCTACAGCCCACGGGTGGCTGCTCAGATTTAAGTGGGATGAAACTGGGACATCCAGTATACACAATAAATGTAAGACAGATAATTACAGAACTACATAACAAATGGAGTTCTTGGTCCCATTTAGGGAAACCCAAGTTAAACTTCTCTAAGGCCAAAGTCCACTGCTAGGAGGGGAGGAGAAATAGGAAAGAGAATGCATCCTGGGTGAAGAAATAAAACATTTTCTCAGATGCTTACTCAATAGTATTGTGCTTCAGGCTCAGGATGTTGCTTCATTGTCAAATGGCTGATCTTTCCTTGTCATGCTTTCCTATTGTTCTCCCTTCCTTAAATAATCCTGGCTTTCAGCTGCATTTTTAATCCATTTAATTCATTTTCAACTCCCCTAAAAATCAGAGATTAGTTTAGTAGATCAGGAATGAGTTAGAAAAAAGGTTGCATAATGGACCTAGTTAAATTACACAGTTGCTACTTGCCTTTGCATAGTAATAACGATGAAGTTAATAGTTTCCACTTTATTTAGCTGCTAAATTCTGTTTTGTTTCAGAAATCAACTCCACTGCAATAACTACATTGTTCTTTGCTCATTAATCTCTATTATTTGTTCTTCTTTGAATTGTTGTGAAGTTTCAGAACATGGGTAGTCCTCTGGCAAACAGAAGAACGTGTTGATCTATTAGACCTTTTAGGCTCTATGATTTAGACAAAATAGTACTATTATAATGGTTTACAGACTTTAGTGGCTCAACTTAGGGCTTCATTGTGCAGTCCACGATATCACAGCAGCTCTTAGGCAGAATTCCATTGCTGCAATTTGTTCTGTACAGAAGGTACAAGAACAGCATAGTGCTAGTTATTATACAGTCAGTATTTGTCAGTAGTTTCCAGACCACTACACTTGCAGATAAATAAAAAAATAAGGAGGGGATTACAATTAACATCTGAGGTTAATTTTATTTTCTTTTTAATTTTTTTTTAAATTGCATTCATACAGTGTATGCCTTTATGACACTATCTACTACTGCAGACTGCTGCCACAAATTGAATTGAGTCTTGAATCATTACAAGATAGGCAGTAGGAGATACGTAAATAGTTGTATAAATACTGTAGTATTCTTCAGCAAAAGAGCAGTCCAGTGCAACAATTACACTAATACAGATGGAAGTGTTGAAGCAGATTATTCTATCATCTTAATATTTATATAGGTATTCCAATTTAAAGTGAACAAAGCATGACTTTTTTTTTCTCTTCATGTGTTTTTAAAAAAATCTTGCAGTTAATATCTCATTAAACACGTAGGGAAAATCTCCCAGGATTTTCCTTTTGCTCTGACCTCACAATCAATAAATTCCTGTGGAGCAAATGCTTTATTTCAATTTCATTGGTTAGGTTCCCTGCAATCCACAGTTCTCTATCATCGTTTCTACTAAGTGTACACTGAACATCTGATGTTCCGTGGTCATAACTACAATCTCTCTCCCTGTATCTCTTTAATTTGCCGTTTCCTGTGATGGAGCAGCTCTTGACATTACATGTGTTTCATTTAAGATATTCTGTGTTTCGCTCAAATGTATTTGCTGTGTTTGCCCAGTCTTTACGGTGTCAAAGAACAAAAAGAACAACAACAACAACAACAACAAAAAGGCAGCCTGAGGTGACATGTTTGAGCTCCTATATAGAAAACACAGCAGAATAATGTTATTAATTATTTCTATATTCATTAGCAGGACTCGTCTCAATGAAACTGCTTACAGCATTTGTGTGCTTTTCAAAACATACAAATTGTGGTAGGTGCCAGGCTTATCTCTGGGACCTGCTGCACTACTGAGTAGCTCTCAGACCATCTGGGTTGGACTGTGGTGTCCCACTGAGATGGTATTGTGCCTCTTTGCCCAGGGAATTTGGACTTGCTAGCAGAAGAACAGAAATATGATAGTTTAATGCCCAAAGCTGCAGTCTGCTCTTCAGAGTAACAGCCATTGGGCACACCACAGAGTGAATCTAACTTACTCACCCAGACTGGTTATCTCATCCTTTGTGTGTTTATTTGAATTTGTGAGGTGCTTCCTGGAAAAAAAGCTTTTATGAGGGGTCTGTATATGTTCAGAGTCCTTGCAGTGGTCATCTAACAGAGTCATACTTATTGTCTCTGAATTCTCAGGAGAGTGCACCCAACTATTTGAATATTTGTGAGTGGACTCTAACTGCACAAAGATGAATTCCAGTTTAATTAAAAATTTCCTGGATCTTATATGGGCAATATTTGTGTGTTGCCACACCTTCAGTCACAGCTCTGCCTGTATCATTAGTTCAGAACAGCAGTTCAGACTAGCATAACAAATAATCCAGAGTCACTGAATATGGGTTGTCACTGTGGATAGTTTAGTTGGTTTTCTCAGCATTTAGAAATGGTATTTCTCACCTCCTCCACACAAGCCTTTTCATTATCCTGCCAACTTCTTGAGGGGAAAAATAACTTCATCCCTGTTTGAGGTGTTTCAAAAGTTATGTGTGGAGAAACTTGGCTGGTATTTTTTTTTAAGGAATATTAGTTAAGGTATGCACTTCATTTCTAAATAAGCTACAATTTAGGAAGCATTTATGTAATCTCTCTACAGCAGGAATGTTCAGAAACATTCACATTTGAAAATGTTGTTGCACCAGTACATCTCAAAAGCTACATCTGTGTGAAGAGCTTAATCTTTGGCAAAGTCCAAAAAGCTGTTGCCATGCTTAGAGCAGAATCTCTATTTTAGCATCTGAAAAAAAGATGTTTCTAGCTATCTTAGTTTTCCAAAGTCCTTCTACAGTGAACAGTGTGCAAGTGAGAAATCCTTCCAGTAAAGATGCCTGTAGAGATGTCTGTCTCTGGTGATTATAAAAGAAGCACCTGTAATCTAAGCATCTTCCAGTAGATGTTTAGCTTTAAGACTTAGGA